GAGGCAATGCTGGAATCCTACAAAAAACTACACGAGAAGTTAGAAATCCCTAACGCACATGAATGTCAGGGAAGTGTCCGCGACCGGATCAAGAGTTACATGGAGGATGTTAAGAATTACCTTCGTAAAACATCATCAGTTTGGCTGTTGCTCGTTGATAATCTAACAATCAATGATCCAATGAGAGAATTCTGGCCTTCTCCGGGACAGGAAAGCCCATGGGGGGAGGGAACAGTCTTGGTCACGACTCAGGATAGTGAACTCGTCCCCAGATCCCACGAGAATGCCGAGGTTATACCGCTGGATTCAGGAATGGAAGAGGAAGACGCTATGGAATTGTTAAGAGTGATATCAGGAATGGATGTGGATGAAGATGCTAAAAAAGTCGCTGGTGTTCTTGGCTATTTCCCGTTGTCTCTAGCCTGCGCAGCTGTTTATGTTGGGCAAATGAGAGAGGATCGCCCGTTATCAAAGTTTTCATGGAAAAACTATCTGTCGAACCTCCAAAAGTACTACGCGCATCTTGATCATTCTGACTTCACACATCACAATCCATGCTATCCCCAGTCAATGCTAGCAGCAGCAGAGTTCGCAGCCCGACGGATGGCCGAAAACAACGAAATTCTCCGAGCTGCCTTCGTGTTCCTTTCGTACTGCTCCCTACAACCGGTTCCGTTGGATACTGTCGCTGATTATGTCTTACGCAGAACTAAAGCCAGGGTGCCAGATGACGTCAAGCTGAAAATAGCAAGGTGTTCTTTGCTAGTATATCCGCAAACAGGAGAAAGGGGAAGAGAAGTGGTCACACTTCATCAAGTGATGCGGATGGCGTTCTCTCAAATCAGGCGAAATCCAGACGAATCGGAAGGAAACGTTGATAAATGTGAAGTTACTGGCGAGTTTCTGAAGAAAAAAGAATTGAATGGGGTACTTCAAGCTTTAAACGAGGCCTACAAACAAAAGAAGGGTCAGTTAAAAAAGGAAGATCTCGCCTTAAGGATTCTGTTGTGTCCACACTTGAAAGAGTTTGTTGAAGGAGTGGAGGTGGTCCAGTGGCTTGAAGAAACTTTACTTGTTCAGGCGTTGGTTCACTTCGCAGATGGTCTCGTGCACGTTGCTGGAGCAACCGACAATTACCGCGTGACTTTACTTGAGCGCGCTTATAAGATCAACAAACAACTGGGTTGTACTGATATCGATGCATGCACGTTGCTTTGCGACTTGGGCTACACCTACCGTGAAGCGGGCTTACTCGATAAAGTGATTCCGATCCTTGACGAGGCCATTAAGCTCTGTGAGACCAAAACGGATCCCATATGGATGAAAAAGAAATCAGGATCGTTAAACATTCTTGCTTTCACATTCCGTGAAAGTGGTCAGCTGGATTTAGCGAAGGAGTACATGAAGCTAAGTGTTGAAGTGACTAGGAAGGCTTATGGGGACATTCACGTTCAGCTGGTTGAGAGATTGTGCAATCTAGGAATCATTTTGCATGACAGATGGGAAAACGATGAAGCTATTGAAGTCCTGGAGGAAGCCAGAGAAATCGTCGAAAAGTGCGACTCGGCAGAGATGTTCATTCGTGGCCAGGTGTTGAATTACACGGCTAAAGTCCACCTGCGCTGGTATCTCGGATTGCGTTACACGCATCCCAACGAGTGCAGCACTAAAATGCATTTGACAGAATCGGTCAGGCTACACGCACAAGCGTTAAACATCTACCACGATCTTTATGGAGATAATCACAAGTTTACCACCGGAGTTATGATGACATATGGAACGGCAAAACTACATTTAGGAGACATTGACGAAGCTTACGAAATGTGCCAGAAGGCCTTTGATGTATACAAAAACTCAGGACACATTGCGTGGCCACGAGCGGGTAATTACCTTGCAGATGTCCTTCTCACTCGAGGGGAGTATCGACGTGCGAAGGAGCTTCTGGAAGAGCTTGTACAGGCTCATAAAAATTTGAACCTCGTAATGAGCCCTGGTGCCTGTCGTTCGAGGGCTCTCTTGGGCGAGGCTTCTGTGCACGTTGGTGACGTGGACGCCGGTAAGACGATCTTGGAAGAATGTCTACAAGAGTGGAAAGAGAAAGAAATTCATCCAGAACATTACTTTGTAGTTCGCACGCAAGCGCTTCTGGAAGGACTTAAGTCACGAGAGTCGCGGAAGTGCGATGGCCGAAGCTTCCATGAGTCTATTAACTCTGCGTGAGTTGCTCAAGAAACTATATTAATGAAAGATTAAGTAATGAACGCTTCAGAAATTTAGAAAAGCTGGCAGAATAGCCGGAATACTTACTGCTTTGCACACAGAGAGGCGACCACGGGCGCGAATGAAACGTTTTGTGAATTTGAAGCCGATGCATTGTGTAATGAATCCCCGTGCCTCGACGCAAATCTGTGGCAAGTATGTTGTGTCGTCCGCCGTCGATTATATGCTATTGTGTACGACATAATTTGAACGATTGATCTGGTACTCGATTCTAAAACGTATTTGACATGCTTTCTAATTTCTCGCTTAATGTAATCATTTCGTCGGTACAAGAAACTTTCATAACTCTACTATATATTTGACCGAACGAATGCTTTTGTGCATGCATGCTCGTACAGGCTTAGCAGTAGTTGGTGAAGATAAGTGTTCATTTACTGTGAAGCATCCCGGGAAAAGCTATCAGTCAGCAGTTTCAAGTGAGTTGCTTCGCATGTAAACAGTTCAGCCGATTGAATTGAAAGACACACCGAAGGAGGATTTTTTTTACTTATTGGCAGTTTTGCATTTGCGAAAATGACCGAACCCTTGTACTTTTCGATTAGCTCTGAGTCTGTGAATAATCATAAAAGTGTGCCTTGTTTTCTATGTGTGTGTGTGAGAAATTTTCCTATTGCCAATTATTGAAATCTGCAAGCAAGTATTTTTTGTCCAAGACAAGTCAAAAGAGGATGCCGTGTTACTTGCCCAGTCTCTTATATTAAGTCACTTTTAACATTCTAGGTGTTCCCAGAGTGGATACCCAAAACGCTTGTGAAATGAAAGTTTTTAGTTCAGTACATGTCTAAAACAACTGATGTTGTGTTCCATAAACTGTTATTTAACGGGCGGGAGGTCTGTATGGGGAAAATAATGTGCCCGTAGTCTTGAGTGCGGTCTGAGGTATAAGACCGAGAACTCTATATACAAGACCAAAGGTACAGCTCTTTCTCATTACCGATACAGACCGACAAAAAGACAAAGAAAAAAAAAAGAAAAAAAATTACATACACATGCATATATATATATATATGCATGTGTATGTAATTTTTTTTCTTTTTTTTTTCTTTGTCTTTTTGTCGGTCTGTATCGGTAATGAGAAAGAGCTGTACCTTTGGTCTNGCTCTTCCGATCTGCCACAAAACGTTGCAATTTATGCCTCACTGAGAAATTTTTTATCTTGTCTTATCCACATGAAGCCTCTTTAAACAAGCGAAGTGAAATAATATCCAATTGTAGACATCGGCGAAAATATATTCTCAGGTATTCTTAACGCTATTATCGGCGCGCGCACGGTTTTCAAGATTTGAATTTTTTAAACAATGTCATGTGATCACGTTGCTGAGTTAGAGTTAACCGTCACGATGCCTCAGTGTGTATGGAGTTTAACCGATGAGTGGATCAACTTTTGTTGGTCTACGAAACAGGCTGTATTAAAATCCATATGTGCGTCACTTGAGTAGTCCATTTGCTACTATATATATATATAAAATCTGTAGACGAGGGAAACCCTAACCCAGTACACCCCAGGCCAAGTAATCATACTTAAATAAATGTTTCAAAAGAAAATTTGCTCTGAGCGGGATTTGAACCCACGTCCCCCTGTTACTAGTCAGGTGTGATTTTTTTTTTGTTTTTTTGTTTTTTTTGTTATTTCTACTAAGACAGCTCAATATGAGCTGTTTAATTACAGCTATCTTACATGACATGAATTAACTAGTTACTAACTGTTTTACATACAATCTTGTTTTATAGTGTGTTACGCTGTGTGGCCGTGGAGGTTGTCTTTAGGGACTTTACGCAACCATGACGGCGACGGCAACGAGCACGTGGAAAAACAAAAAATCTAATTGGCAGAACAATAGCTCAGCAGGTGCATTTTGAAACTTTGCACATTTCTTAGCCTTCCTATGCAAAACAACAACGAGAAATCGACAAAATTTGCGTCGTCTGCGAACCGAAACCGCGACGGCAAATTATTTTAATTTCCAGTTGGAACTCAACGCTACTTTTATACGTCATGCTTAAGTTGAGCTATGGCGCCGTATAAGACAGTAAGCTCCTGCAACCATTTTTGAAATTCTAACTAAGAGTAGAAATTCATTTTTTAATCGGAGTCTTCCTTGGCGTTGCCGTCCTGATTGCGTAAGGTCCCTTATGTACTTATGACTACGGTTGTTTATATTTGGAGGCTGAACCGGTCGTTGCTCACCCTGGCTATTATATCGTTTATGCACCATTTCTGTTTAAAAAGATGGATGGTGCCTTTGGCTTGTTTGCCGACTTTTCGGAGTTCACTTTTTGCGGGGTTAATGAGGCGGCATGTAGGGTGGTTGGCGAAGTTATATTTATGGTCTTTTAGGGTGATAAAGCTTGTAGTTTTGTGATCTGTTCCGCGCTGTCGTCGATTTTGAGCTCTTGGGCGATGAAGTTTGCTTGTGAGTCAATGATGTTAGCGGCGTCGGTGCTGGCTTTCTTGTAGGTGGTTGTGATGCTGTCCCTCTGGATTTTGTCGTGACGCGTCTTGTCAAGCTTGTAAAAGTTTGAGGTCTTGTCCGCAGGGATGAAGGCTTTTGTTGATTTTTTGATTTTGTTGATGTCTTCGTTGAGTTTGTTCTGGAAACTGTTATTGACGTTTCTAAACTTTATGCTGTGTACCATGTCGAGAAGATCTGCTTCAGACTTGTCTAGGTCGCTGTTCTGCGGTGGGCACTTACTTGATTTAAAACCAAAATTATCGTTGTTTGCTGCATCGTTGTTGCTTTGTTCATCGCGGTCGAAGAAAAACGCTTTCCATCTCATTCGTTTGGTGACGCTTTCTACTTTCTCTATCAGTCTTTTCAAATAAATTTTCCTAGGTGGTATCGGTATGTTCTTAGTTGAATAATCGAACCGGACTTGGTCCATCTTTGGGTGTCGCGGTTAGACTACTGTGCTCAAGTAGTCGTTTTAGAAGCGTTATAAATGTGAGAGTAGAGCCCACCTTGGCATAAAGTGCTCAATGCTGCATTAGCAGAGCTGGGTATACATTAGTTGAAGAATTAAAGAGGACGCATCGATTCTCTGTTACTCTGAGTTTCGCGCCGAAGCGCTCGTCAGACAGAGTTTTATTCAATAAAGAACATACCTCCTTATAAATAGTGGTTAATTAATTCGTACCAGCGGGTGTCGCGGTAATCTCGTGCGTGGGAAATTAACATCTCCTGCCCCTAACCCTGCAGGAGACGGGACCTCTATTTATTCGTCCCTATCGGAGAAGACCAGAATATCTAACCATTTCTTGATGTTATAGAAAGGTGGCATATTCTTCTCAATTATTTTAAGACCTTGAGTGTTGGTCCGGCCGGGGCTCGAACCCTCGACCTCCCGCACAACAGTCCTGCGCTCTATCCATTGAGCTAACTGGGAGGCCAATGGCATTCTATGACGGTGATCAGCTGACATCATTTGATCTGATTGGCTAAGAAAGAAGACCAACATTGCGCAAGCTTGCGATAATGTGATTGGTTAAAAATGGATTTAATCCGCGTAAGTAGAAAACGCTCTCTGCTTTATACGAAATTAACAAAGTTTTTAGTATTGTATGTGCAGTTTCTCACGCCACGCGCGTTGCTTGTAGTTTAGTTGTTAGTTCAAATTTTTAAGCTAAGGATTTCGAGGCTAGCCTGTAAGAAGCATTAACTTCGAATCGTCACCGGATAGATCATCGTATGTAAATTGTTGTGGTCGTTGTTTACAAAAATACAAGGAATCTGGACGCACACAAGTTGTTGTGTTGTGTTTATTTTCGCCAGAGGTAGCTGGCCCTTACAAGTATATTGAAACGAGCAAAATCCTGTACAGCAATCGCTGTGCAAAGGTAATCATTGTTCTTCGGAGATGGAGCACATCTCTTTTCCCTCCCACATCGGTGTAATCACAATTTCAGGCTCATCCTCTTCATGTTCGCTCACAATTTCCTTCTCTTTCCATACGTACTTTCCAATTTGCTCGCACCCCGAGTCGAATACGTACCTTCCTCGACCTCTTGGCTTGTTCTCTTCAAAATCACCCACATATCTGTGGTTTGAGTGAATGAGTTGGCCTTCCTCGTGCATTTTGCCTTGAAACCATCGCCCATCGTAGCGCGAGCCAGTTTCCTTGTATGTATAAACCCCTTGGCCGTGTCGACGGCCCTGGATCCACTCCCCTTCGTAAGTGTCTCCATTGGGGTAAGTGTAGGTACCAAAGCCACTTCGTAAATCGTTAATCCAGGACCCGTCATACTTGGAACCATCTGGATACAAGAACACGCCGTCACCATTTTTCTTGCCTTCCATGTAGTAACCTACGTACCGCGCACCATTTTTGAATCTACAAGAGAGAAATATTTTGGTTTTAATCTCTGTAACCGTGACTGCCAATTAGACTCGAGTTGTTAAGGGAAGGCTTTTAACTTTGTGAGAGAAAGTTTCTGACTAACACGGAGTTCTCTGTTACCTCTTAACCCATCTTGGAGGGATGTAGACAAATTTACAGCCTTAAATATTTAAAGTAGATTTTTTTTTTTAACCTGCAGCCGGAAGTTGAAAGAAAAAATTTAGGATTTTATTTTGCGATGATCTGTTGATGTCTATGTGCGCGTCTCAAATTTCTGCACAAAAGTTCCCTATTCATTAACTTCCATTGCAAAATCTATGGTCTTGCAGGTCTCGTTGGGGTGGTTTTAGCTCCTCATCATTCCTAGAATTCGAATGAACTCAGTGTTTTCCAAAAAATTGTTTAATAACATGTAGTAACGACGTTCAGGTATAAGGTGTGGAGGCAACGCTTATATCTTAACAACTTGCTCCATAGCACGTACAGTAGTTAAGTAGATTACAACGAGAGGATTTCTTTTGTGGTTAAGATTAAGAATATGGCATGAATAAATGGCTCGCACCACTGCATTCTCTACTCATAATTTAATTAAAAACCAAGCACTTTAATAAACATTAGCCAATTCTTCCTTTAAAAGAACCCACAATTCCTCTATTCGCTCCGACGAAGGGCTAACGCTCGAAACGTCAGCTTTTGTAATCGTTACGGAGGCCAATTTACCATTTCAACTTAGTTGATATATCCAAATTATTTCGTTACTCCCACCGACGCAGCCCCAAACAGTTTCTTACGGAGTATTATTCATTGTGTGAGCTCTTGCGCATGACTGAACACAGCAGTGCGTGACAGTTTACAAATATTGAATTTTAAATAAACCTTGCGTGAATTGAATTTCGAAACATCGCCACTTCGCTACTATTACCTGCCTCTAGCATTAGAAAGCTACGCCTAATAACACTTATATCTTCTCCTTTCTCCCAAGAATTCTGTGTTGGTAAACAAGAAAATAATCTTTTCATGTTCTGCGACAGGAGAAAGATCAATTTCGAGAAAAACGGGACTTAACTGAAGTAGGAACCTTAACTGAATGTTGTGCCTGAATGAGCAATGCGACTCAGTGATATTTCTTGCACCTGGAAGTCACGATACCATTAATTAATCACCAAGTCAACATGTTCAATGTAAATATAAATATTTAGTTCAAAATTTTCAATAGAAATACAACTAATGAGTGGCAAAAATAAGATAAGAGAAAGCATTCGACCACGGCTGTGTACGTAGCTGAATGCGCCCGAGTTCGTAGATATTAATGCCCTTGGCCCTTATTATATTATTAAATTGCGCCTTTGCTTAGTATCGAAAGATGTTAATTTATTGCCACGCAAATATTATCTTCACTAAACAATCGCTTTTCTTTCATGCATCAAAGTCAATCCTGGCATAGATCAATAAGACCATCCATTGAATTTTTTCAACTTCGGTAGCTGAACGGAAGTTCAACTGACTTCACTGACGAATTATTTTTTGTCATCAAGAAAGGCAAAAGGACACCCTGTCAATTCTGAAAAATCTGCGATGTGAAAATATGACTACTTGATGCTAAAGAAAGGCCTATATTTCTACCTGTAAGTTCCGTTGCCATGTCGCTTGCCATTTTCATAAGAACCTTCATATGTATCCCCGTTGGGAAGCTTCGCTCGCCCAAAGCCATGTCGTTCATCAACCTCGTTCCTTTCACCGTCATATTCTCCCAGATATGGCAGACCGTCGTCATCTGGAATCGTTTCCTCATCAGACGACATCTTTATGCGGGCAAACTTTGTTGACACTCAACTTTAAGCGTGAACCTCCGAGGTTAGAAATGGCGGTAGCAATGGATATTGTTGACTTCAACCGATTTCGTCTCCAAGAGATACAAATGAGCAGTCAGCCACGACATGATATCCTCGCGGTATTATGTTACAAATTCATGCGGTATCCAAATTCCTAGACCGTGACAAGAATTGCACGCGAGTGCGAGTAAGCTAAAATAGGACCGTTCGACCGTACCAGTTAAGACTGTTATACTCAAGAATTTTAGGCGTTAATCTCCTTCTTCTCCATGGAGGAGTTCCTTTTTCGGTACCACTGCGCGCGGCAGAGATAATATTGGAAGCAAAATTGTGACGTCAGTAAGTACAAAGGGGGAACTATGAAAAATTGATCATTTTGATTACTTCGTGAAACAACCGAGAGTATGGTCGCTACCACGGTGTTTTCGGTATTAATTCTCTTTGAGAATACCCAGAATGCTAAATATGAATTGAACCAAAGAATGGGGCGAGTAACATGGTACCCCTTTTAACTTGTCCTGGGCTCACTGTAATTTGCAAAATTGTGACGTCAGTAAGTACAAAGGGGGAACTATCAAAAATTGATCATTTTGATTACTTCGTGAAACAACCGAGAGTATGGTCGCTACCACGGTGTTTTCGGTATTAATTCTCTTTGAGAATACCCAGAATGCTAAATATGAATTGAACCAAAGAATGGGGCGAGTAACATGGTACCCCTTTTAACTTGTCCTGGGTTCACTGTAATTTGCGAAACGAAACGAAACGAAAATCTGTAATTTGCGAATCAGAAATATGTGTTTTGCAAAAAGGAAATCTGTTAATTGTGAAACAAGAATCTTCGCCGAAAACTCCACCGCCTGAAAGAATGATTCAGTCAGTTCACGACAAGTGTGGCTCACGGTGGCCGGATTGCACTCGCAGTCTATCAAATCACAATAACTAAGGCCGTAAGAAATAAAACATATGCGTGGTGTTCTCGGGGAAATCTCTACTACGTTCGCGAATAAATCAATGCGTCGTTTATGTGAAAGAATAGTTGCGTCATAAGGCCATACAGGGCAAATGTACTTTGAAATATTAGCTGGCGCTGTTGTTGCACTGTATAAAAGGTATAAGCAGCGTGCGTTGTTGAATGTTTGCAATGCGTGACAAGACACTTTCCAGAGCATGTTTCTAGATCACGTTTGCTAGGAAAATGGAACCGACTCAAGCTCTTTATTATTCTTGAAGTTCAGGTATGTTTACGATCTTTTTACGGATTTTCAGTATTTCACGAATTACAGATTTTATTTGGTTTCTTTTCGTTTCGCAAATTCCTGTGAGGCTCGTCGTGGACAAAAGAATAATTGCTTCCAGACATTATAAGATTATCATCCAAAGTTATATTGTGGCTGTGATTGGGGTTGGTGTAGAAAAGTGTTCATTTTTGGCGAAGCATCTCTGAAAGAGCTATCAGTCAACGGTTTCACGTGGGTTGCTTCGCATGTAAACCAGTGAGTCGGCCGTTGGGCATGAGGTGTCATCTCCGCCAATATTCTGTTTCAAATTCTGTTGTAAAAAACCTGTATGCTATTGCTTTTTATCAAATTCTTTTCTCAAAAAAGTACAACCGAAATTGGACCAACAGAATAGAATTTAGGAAGTTAGAACAGAAATTGAGTGAACAAAACGGAATTTAGAACACCCCAACAAAGCGAAACAGAAATTGGCGAAACAGAACGGAAATTGACGAGGTCTCTATTTCTATTCTGTTTTTCCGACGAACCGAGTGGAACCTGAGTAAGAGCCAGTTAAACATAATTTATTCTCCCGAGTCCCGCTCAAAAAAAATTTATTCTTGCCTGATGACCAGTCTGTTTACTGACCGTAAATTAACTATGTAAATATCGAGAATCCGCCGACAGTTGCAAAATTTTGTAATTCGTTTTATTCTTTCTAAAGGACCCTTTTAATGAACCTTTTTCGAAAATTATATCAAAAAGTTCTATGCGCTTTTTTTTCTCCGAAAAAGCGAAAAGTTCGAAATACGCCTAAGTGGCGTTGTCCTCCCCGTAAAGTAATGAATAATGATACAACTTTGGCAACTTCGTTCGCTACAACGCGATGCAATCCCGTTTTTAATTTAAATTTTGTGTTCTAGCAGATGGTCCTTTTATCTCTTAAGAAATATTAATTTCTTGTTATTTTGTTACGTTCAAGTCTGAATAGTAACCCGTTGAAATAAAGTACGTTGAACGGCTGTCACGCAAGAGGTCAAAGCCAATCTTTCAACTTGGTCAGGAATGTACCAAATACACAACCTCTCAGGTTCCACTCGGTTCGTCGGAAAAACAGAATAGAAATAGAGACATCGTCAATTTCCGTTCTGTTTCGCCAATTTCTGTTCTGTTTTGCCTATTTCCGTTCTGTTTCGCTAATTTCTGTTCTGTTTTGCCAATTTCCGTTCTGTTTCGCCAATTTCTGTTCTGTTTTGCCAATTTCCGTTCTGTTTCGCCAATTTCTGTTCTGTTTTGCCAATGTCCGTTCTGTTTCGTCAATTTCTGGTCTGTTTTGCTAATTTCTGTTCTGTTTTGCCAATTTCTGTTTCGCTTTGTTGGGGTGTTCTAAATTCCGTTTTGTTCACTCAATTTCTGTTCTGACTTCCTAAATGCTATTCTGTTGGTCCAAATTATAACGAGAGAAGAGCTTTGTATCCGTAGCTTTACTATTAGCCTCTGAGTGCAGCTCCCAGAGAAAAACCGAACATTCTCGTCACCACACTTATTGAGCCCGTGATTCCTCCTCGCTGCAGTCAGTAACATCTCACTAAATGAATTTTTCTTCTTGTATCTGTAGTAAGTCAAGCAGCGACACCAGAAGTGAGATAGCGGGTAGTTTCCTCACAGAATTTCGACCGTCCAGTCCTGTTTCTAAATGACACGAAGGGCACTTTTGAGTAGTTTGTCCTTCAGTGGTCGGTTTCGAAGTAAACCATATGATCCTGCATATGGCTCTGTAGTATTCTGATGAAATCCCTCATTGGCAACCAATTTTCTATGGTCCTTCCCCCCTTAGACTGTTGGCGACGTGCGATCTCCCCTCCGTTCTCCCCTAAAAAGAGGGTCTCAATCATGTCAATGGGATGATCGATGGTAATTATGGCGAACGGTTAAAATTTTGGCCAACAAAGGCTAACGGTTGATATTTTTGCATTGGGGTTGCAGACAAAATTTTTACGGTTAATTTTTTTTTTACGGTTAAAAATTTGTCAACTTTTACGCCTAACGGTTAATTATTTTTGGCCGTTTTATGGCGAACGGTTAACCCGGTTGAAACCCTCTGAAAACCATGTGATCCCCCAAAATTCCTTTACCCCATTCCCCCCTCTCTTGGGCAATGACTGGTTCCTAGTGCCTCCAGGACCGGAGACATCTATATATGTACGAGTTAACATTAAAATGTTACTTGAAACAGGTTTTCTGACTGATATATAACGTCATATCAATTTTAAAGTTAAGGGGAGAGTCTGGTTACATTTTGCGCACAATTAAATTTGTATTGTAGTATTATTCAACCTATAAATGGCAGTAATATGCGACAGTCATTTAGGATTTTGATCACTGTTATTAGAATTAAAGTAAACTTCTTAAAATATTCGAAGTGATGCGAATAACTAGTTTCTTCGAAGCTTAAAAAGATAACGCAGATACATTTTGTACAAGTAAAATGGCCGATATGTTATGGCAAGGGCCTTGGAATAACCTACTTTTAGTAACCTTGACTTTTGATATATGCTTCTGAAAATACTGAGCGGCCTTGAAAAAGAAAACTGCGGCTGATATTACCAGAGATTAATGAGTGCAGTTAAATCTCTGAAACTCTGAGTTTACGAGCCGTTATCTGCACCCTCCCCTCTCCCCAGGGTTCCAACAACACCTACCCAATTCTTCACCGTTGAGTTTTCGGCCACCCGATAAATGTTGCTGTTGTTCTTGTTTTATTCAAAAAATTTCTTAGTTATTATTTTGATGTCTTAATTTTTCAGGCAAACGATCGACCTGAGTCCAAGAACCAAATTATAGTTAGTATTTGGGAACGAGTCATAATTTTTTGCCTGAGAGGGGTGGGTGGAGTTTATTTTGTGTCATAATAAAATTTACCTGATTTCCCAATTAGGTTCTGAAATACCCTTATGACCCCCTCCCCCCCTCCTCATCGGCAGTCAATTGGCAGCCAATTGTTATAGTCCCTGACACCCCTTAAAACCACGTGATCCCCTGCAAAATTCTCAGACTGGTTTTTATTCCTACCTATGCACACGGGGGAGTCATTATATCAGAAAACTAACGATTCCTAAAGGGAAAAATTCTGTAGCTTGCCGCTCTAGCAATTAGTTAAACGTTTCTGTTTTATTGATATTTTAAACACCGGCATTAATGTCAACAAGTCCCTTATTTTAACAAGATGACCCTATTTGACAGTTTGATGGAATGGCGAAATATTCTACAATGCAGAATGCCTTGTTGTATGATACAAAAGTCCAACATGAAAGGAAAATTACTATTATTAATACTATTGTAATCATTAAATAAAATAGATAAATATGTTTATTTGTTATCATTTCCAAATGATAACAAAAAAAAGTTATTGTTTGAGTGTCAATTTCTCACTATATTCTTGAATCATCTTTCTCTTGTGGAATAGGGTACTCATAAATATGTTGGATGCCAATCTTCCATGCATTTGGATATTTCTGATTTTGGAAACTGGTGGTCGATTTTGGATTTTGGACACTAGTGGCCAATTTCTGACTCTGGACACTACGGCCGATTTCTAATTTTGGACATTAGTGTTGGATTTTGGACTCAAGAGGTCGATTTCCAATTTGGGACACTTGTGGCCCATTTTTTATTATGATCACTAGTGGCCGATATGTGATTTTCGGACACTTGTAACCGATCTGTGATTTTGGACACTAGTGGCAGATCTGTGATTTTGAAGACTAGTGGCCGATCTGTGATTTTGGACACTTGTGATCAGTGAAAGACTCCGACAATTCTACTTTTCGATAAAAAAAAAAAGAACTCTGATTGCTTAAAACAGCTGAGAATCTGTGTTTCGTTTAGCAAACAGGCGCTTCCTTTCGATGACAGATATATTTAATTACAAGACTCGTGATTGACATTAATTCCATGCAGTGATTTCAAAGTGTTGGCTTATCATGTTTTAAACCAGTTTTCAGAAGAATCAATAAGAGAGAGAAGTCATTTTTTATAGTTTGTTATTTCGCTTACCTAAATCTACTAACCTGAATAGAGAAACCTGTTTTTACGACCCGCCACAGATTAAGTTTCCAGCCACGTTTTGTGAATGTTGATACGAGCATAAGACTTTATTTGCGTTTTTCTGATTTCGAATTACAAATGTAGTTCTTTTGGATCAATTGATTGGATTGATACAACCTCGTTCCCAGGGCCTTTCCCCTTAGTTGAGGGTGGAGTTGCCAACCCCCAAATAAAGGAAAAGGTCCTGGGAACGAGGTTGGGCGGATTCATATCATACGGTTTGAAGTGGTCGTCTGAGCTGTCGACCAGTTCCGAGTAAGGAAACAATCTGAATTACCGTGTTCCTGGATAGATGCTTTAGTGGACAGTAGCGAAATTGATACTTTTTTCTCGAATTGTTTTGACAAGGAGGAACTGTTGAAAATAGGCACCTTTTCTTCAAAGAAATGCTGTCCTTTTTCAGCTTTAAGGTGAAAAAATTTTTTGTCAAAAGCGCGAAAAGGGTACCTTTTTTACACTAAGAAATGATGTCATGAAAAGTGTGAAAAAAGGTACCTCTTTTGCAATATTGAAAAATAGCGTTTTTCACTTTATTGGAATTGACAACCCATTTAAAACCCTTCTGATGTCAGCTGTAGGCGCCATTTGATAAAAATATTTGCAACTCCTGACAGTAGCTTGTATTTCTCTCTTCGCTTCTCAGAAGTATTGAAACGCTTTTTGACTGACACCTGTCATCCATTGGAATTCACTTAGTACTCGTTCATCCGTCTTATCCCACATTTCGCTCAATGCAATCGCAGAATATCAAACATTCTTCCTGCATGCATTTGAAACAGAATGTTCCTAAAGAATTATCGTTACTTAACGAATTTCGGAAAAAAAGGGAAAAAGTCGTAAAACAAAATTTCATTTATTCTTGATAATTTTTTTTCCTAGAATTTGTTTGACGGACAAAATCGCCGCATCCCCACCCAGAGAGTTAGCGTCAACATCTCGTTCCAGTCTTTTCGCCGCTCTAATTCAACATGGCGGAATCGGCAGAAGAAGAGATCGATGTCGAAGATATTTCCGATTGTCAGCAAATATCAAATTTAAAAGACTTGGCTGACGACGATCATAAAGATAAGTGGTACGAAAACTTTTTTTATTATATTTTGTTTTACAGTGACTTTTTTTAGCATGTCTTCCATTGATTCGTGATATTATTGGTACCATATGTACAGTCGAAGCCAGCTAGAAGCTGTTTAATCTGTTTGTTTATACATAATGTGGGCTTTATATTTAAATATTGATTCATAACTTTATAGGTATGATAAGGACGCTAGCAATCAGAGTTTTCTTAACCCTTCTGGAAGCCCATTCTCTTCGGAATATTGCGATCCAAATTCGTGGCTTTTAGACACAAACTCGGTGAGGAGTTTACATTTTGTGTTTTTTATTTGATTTATGCAAGATTGTCAGTGTTTAAGCCATCGATCTTAATTTAATGAAATATTTGCAAATGGTGAACAAATGAAAGATTGATATTTCCGTAAAATCATTCGCTGAATTTTTGGGTCATGTTTGAGATTCAGTAATCTTAAATTGAATTGAATTGAAGAACCATCTTTTCCAAAATAGCCATTGTTATATTCTCGCGAGCCTCGAGTGTCTATTTCAAAACTCATATACGCAACAGAAAATGTACTCAGCAGGGCTTGACACTGACGGTAGCCAGTCATAGTCAACTAGCCACGGTACTAGTAGAGATTCAGTTTTGGCCAGTGGTTTTTTTATTTCTACTGGCTAGTTTGGCTTGTAAACAAACTGAAATTGTCGTAACATCTAAGATGTCAATAGCCACTTGGCTAGTATGTTGAAAAGTTAGTGTCGAGCCCTGCGCAGCCATAAAAAATACAGTGTACAAATATATAAAGTGTTTAAGTTGAGTTCATTGGTTTGATTCTTTTGTTTATGACAAAATTTTGTTTACAGGGAATATTTTTTATTCAGAGTAAAATTGAACTCAGTGTAGTTGCATTTGTAACAGGTTTGGTCCTTGGATTCTTGTACTGATGACAAGAGTCGCTTGGCTATTGAGAAAATGATTCTGGAAGAACAGTATCCTTATTATAGGTGCTTAAAAATCTGAAGATAGTATCTGCTTATAGTTCAACGTACCAGATTTGTGGTACAGCCGAACCTTGATTATCTGCACCTCGATCATCTGCATTTCTCAATTATCTGGACTTTTCCTTTGGTCCCAATTTTGTCATGAATATTTATTGGTCATGATCATGTTCCATAGCCATACTCTTTTCAAAACTACAGCATTGAAAAGTGATTCGTAAAGGCACGTTTTTTTTGCTTTCAAAAAGAAAAGCCAGTGCTTGCATGTATTGTAACTAATGAAGAATGTTCAAATGAAGTCTGATTGGCTTAGAGTTGTATTGTTGCTAAGTGAGATTTCACACTCTGTTGGCTTGTTTGATGACCATTTTTTTTTAAATACAAATTTTTAAATGTTGTGTTTCACATTTAAGGCCCAGGTCAAACTCCGGACTTCACATGAGCCCAACCTAATGACAGTTTGGGTCGACTCAAATAATTAAGAACGCCTGTTTGAGTCAAACGTCGAACTTAATTCAGTCGAACCGAACTGCTTGACCAAACAAATAACAAAAGCGGTCTTGTTGGTCAGTTGTTATTCAAGGTAAAGTCAAAATGGTGCCTTTTCCATGGCTTCTTTCCCTTCTCACCATTTACTCCAACAGCATGTGTTAAGCACTGTGTGCCTTGCTCGAGCAAACTTTCCAGCTTTCCAACCTGGAATATCATCATTTTCTTCTGGAAGTGAGCATTTGTTGCACAACGGCTCTCTGCAACGAAGGCAGCAATATTTTGTCGTGTTCAAACATGACATACAAGAATCTTCATCATCTTCAACACCAGAGTGATAGGCAGCCATGTTGGAAAAAAACTGTGAATGAGGTTCATTGATACATTTAAGGCTAATTCATCCATTAACATGACTTAACTTTGATTATCATTTAATTATGCGTTTGGTTCGACTCATGTGAAGATCGGCATTTGACCCAAAGTCGTTCTTCAGGCGTTCTTCATGGCTGGCCAGGCATGAAGGATGCCTCAGCCGCTCCAAATAAAGTTAGTCGAACTTAATTGGGTCAAACGCCGACCTACACATGAGCCTAATTCGTTGAATTAGATTCGGCTCATGTGAAGTACGACGTTTGACCCGGGCCTAAGTATCACTTTCTTAATTTAATCAGTTTTGTTCCTCATTATTATTCATATTCTGGATTATCCGGACCCTTGATTATCTGTACTATTTCATCAAGCCCCTACAAGTCCAGATAATCGAGCTTCAACTGTAGATAAGTTCTACTTAACCCTTTCATAACCAGAAGTGATTAACTTATAGTTTTTTCTAAACATGTCATTCTCCAACCGACAAGTAATGAGAAAAACCTAAACCATTTCAGTGAAAGGTTGTTTCCTGATTATCACACACAAACATCCCTCGACTAATAAAAAAAAAAATAAAAAAAATAAATAAATAAAAAAAAAAACCACTTAGCTGGTGGGAGGAAGAGTGGATAAACTGGAAGAGTTAACCCATCATAACTCAACATCAGTATGCATATTTCTCCATACAGCGATTGCTGTAAATTTCCTAAGCTGCTCCAGGTCTCAACATTAATGGTAGCCTCCTAGCCACAGACTAGTACAAATTCAGTTTTGGCCAGAGGTTTTCGATTTCCACCTGCCAGTGTGGCTAGTAAATGAACTGAAATTGTTGTAACATCTAAGTTGTCACCAGCCACTTGGCTAGTTAGTTGAAAAGTTAGTTTTAAGCCCTGTGCTGACAAAAAGAGTTTGTTTAATTAATAATCAAGAGTTTCTTTAGTTGGTGATCATGCATTTCCTTTATTCCCTTGACCTTAACGGGGATTTCGTTAATTTCTGAAGTAGGTGTATATTGGAACATAAGTAGGCAGAAGACAGTTCAGTGGTAACAAAGGCAGATTTGTCGTCAGTCTTTCTCTTCTATCCATTCAACATGGCACACAGCAAACTGATTGTGTTGTTGATTGAATTGTTAGAACTCATTACAAAAATCACCCAACAACCAAAAGGGAGAAAAAATATCAACAACAAAAAAAACACCTTTATTGATGACTGCCTTTAGAATGTATTGAACGTTTTCCAAAAAACACGCAAAATCTGGGAGGTGAAATGGCTATAATGGTAGCTGGCTCCATTGTAAAGAGTAGCCGCTGGAGTTCACCTGGTTACCGGTTTCTTAAGCCTTGTCTACATGAGCAATTTTTATGTGGCAACTGTATGTGGCAATTTTCATTTGCCCATGTAGATGGCTCGACAAATACTTGTTGTTAATTTGCGTCAGTAATAATTTTGCACAGCGGTGATGCTCATGGAAAGGAAAAAGCAAGATGGTGAAAGTCAGAAGACAGGCCAGACGTGTTGCAGCTTTGGGTGCGTTTGTCACATTTTATGTGGCGTCTCGTCTACACGGACAATTTTTTTATGTGGCAATTTTTATTTGCCACATAAAACTAACACGCCAGCTTTTCAGCAAATGCAGTTGTCACATAAAGATTGGTCATTTTTCATCATCTACATTGGACAAATAAAAATTGCCACTTAAAAATTGCCATATAAAAGTTGCTCGTGTAGACGGGGCTTTATGAAATCCCTGCCTTAACCCGTTACACCCTAACATCAGTATGCATATTCTCCATACTGTTCTCCAGAGATTTCTTAAGGAGCTGACAAGGAGAATTTGTTTAACAATCAAGAGCTTCTTTGGTTGCTGATAATTTCCTATATTCTCATGACCTTAATGTTTAATTCAGGGGTAATATTGTAAGGAGAATTAAGAGGCCGGTCACTCTAATGGGTCTGAAGGTTAGGGGGGAGGGGAGGGGAGGGGGGAGATGTACGGTTCTGAAGTAACTTGTTGTTTTCATGGAATGGACTTCAATTTTTTAGATATGAAGAAAAAAATGTTTAGCATGTAGAGTCTGTGGCTTGCATTGTAAATATTTTATTCAACCAGAAACAACCCAAATTACCTTCATTTTTCTTATTTTTTTTCCCTTTGTTCCAGGGAATGCAGACTTTTTAACATCCATGAGATGCTTCTTTTTGCTTATCCCCTATTGTTGTACAGTGTTACCCCTTAACTTGAATTATAGAATGTATGCTTACAGGTCAACACCAGTAAAACTGGAAGAAACACCACCAGGTAAGTCTTGTTATTAGTTTTGTTATTGACTTATAATCTGTTAATTTTAAGCAGGCACATAATTTCAAAGTAAGGGGTTTTGGTTGATGTTGGGGCAAGGACATTTATTTTAATTTTTTTTTTTTTCGGTTATTGTTAAAAGCCATTAATGTACAGCATTTAATCTTGTAGGGGAGAAGAAAAGGCAAACTTGTGTTGGAAGGTAT